CATCCAAACGGGGATCCTGTCGGTCGTCGCATTTTGGCACAGATACATGGTTGATCCGACAACGGCGAGTATGGCTGCGCAGGCAGATTCTCCGCCTGAGAGTCTTGACGACACGCTATGACCTCTCCGCTGCCTTTCGCTGTTGGAAGTCGGGTGCCGCCCTCTGCCTGCTTCATTTTTGTGCTAGCGTCCGGTCCGCCGCGGCATACCGTGAGCTCCAGGACCTTGTCGCTGACCTCCGGAGCACCAAGAGGGAGCTTCGCCAAGCTATACGGAGAGATCAGGGTCGGCGGATTGATGAAGCTGCCTCAGCGGCCGCGGCCAAACCGATCTCCGAAACAGTGTCGGCCCTACGGCCACTGATTGGCCCATCCAAGCGCCGGAGCCACACTCGTCAGGGTCTTCCCCTTGTTCACGATGAGACCGGGACTCCGGCTGCCACGCCAGAGGATGCCGAGGCCATATGGGTTAAGCACTTCGCTGGGATCGAGGACGGCAAGACTGTTACTCCACAAGACCTTGCTACCCGCTGCATCCAGCGACAACAAGCCCGTGACCTTGATGACCTATGCATTCTTCGGGAGGAATTTCCCAGTCGGTGCGAACTGGAATCTTCCCTAAGAGCGACTCGCCCAGACAGGGCAGCGGGTGTCGACAGCCTCCCGGGTGAGATTCTCCACTTCTCGCCAGCCACGGCTTCACGGTCGCTATTTCAGCTCGCTCTCAAGATTGCCATGAGGGCAGCTGAGCCCCTGCATTTCAAGGGTGGGGCCTTACACACGGTGTGGAAGGGACGCCTCTCTCCCGTGCTGCCGGAGGCCCACCGTGGCATTCTGGTGTCTTCCTGTGTCGGCAAATCACTGCACAGAGCCTTCCGAGCTCGTGCCACGGGGGCCCTGGCCAAGCTCTCCTCTCCGTTGCAGATCGGCGGGCTGCCTCAAATGCCGGTCACCCTGGCCTCTCAGGCCATCCGCCTCTTCCAAAGTGGAGCGCAAAACAAGAAGATGAGCTACTCGCTCATTTTCTTGGATTTACGCGAAGCCTTTTATCGGGTGCTCCGCCCGCTCTTCGTTGGATCCAAGTTCAACGATGAACACTTCGCTACAGTGGCTGCCCGTCTTCGTCTGGCCCCAGACACTTTGGAGATCATCCACCGACATCTCCGCGAAGACCCATTACCAGCCGAGGCAGGGGCACCCACTTGGGTTTCGTATGCGCTGTCGGAAATCCTGGATTCGACTTGGTTCCGCTTCCGACAGAGCTCCACCACCGTTGAAACCGGGGCTGGATCTCGCCCAGGGGACAATTGTGCAGACATTATCTTTGGATTCCTGTTCGCATGTGTGCTCCGAGATCTCAAGTGCGAGCTAGCCCAACATGGTGTCTTGGTGCACCTCCCGTGGGAGGAATCCTGGCTCGGCCGAGTCGAACCTGTCGACACTGCCAAGCCCTGCCAGGGGTCCATTCCAATCATGGACTCGACTTGGATGGACGATTTGTCGCTTATGGTCAAGACTTCTACCGCCAGCGCACTTCCGGCTGCCACCACCACGGCCGTGCAGTCTCTTTTAGACTGTTGCATGAGCAGGGCCTCGTACCCAATCTGGCACGGGGTAAGACGGAGGTGCTTATGGTGCCACAAGGCACGGGCTCTCGAGGAGTTCGCGCTGCCATTTTTCGCGACAAAGATCCATGTCTGCGCTTCCAGACAAGACATATGGGACAGGTCTGTATTAGACTGGTCGGTCAGTACCGACATTTGGGAGGCCTTATCCATCACAGCGGCCAGGCTCTACGAGAGGCGTGCCATCGCGTCTCCCTTGCACACGAAGCCTACCAGAAGCACAAGCGTCGCATCTTTGAGCATCCGAGCATTGACGTCCGAGCCAAGGCTACGCTCTATGAGAGCCTCGTGCTCTCGGTGCTCCTACATGGCGCGGGCACCTGGATACGTCCGGATCAGGCAACCCTTCAGTCTCTGTCCCACGCACATGTACTCATGGTTGCTAAAATGCTCCGACCTTGATTCTCTTTTGATGAAGCCTTGCATCAGGGACCGGACAGGATCTTGGCGCTAGCGGGGTTGCCTTCCATTGCCACGCTTATGCACATTTCACGCCTGCGGCAGCTCCTGCCTTGTGTCCACCTGCGCATTGCCGAGATTTGGGCACTGGCGCACTGGGATGGCCGATGGTTGGAGGAGGTCCGTGGCTCCCTGGCCTGGCTGTCACAGCTGACCACCCCGGTTGCTTCACACTGGCATGAGCGATGGGGGGAATGGTACGACATGCTGGAGTCCCACCCTGGCAGATGGAAGGCCCTACTCCGTCGTGCACAGCGCAAGGCTGTGCAGCGAGAGGCATGGGAAGCAGCCAAGCTTCACAGTACAGGCCTGCTGTCTAGACAGCTAGTAGCCATGGGCGGTACTATGCACGGGACCGCCCTCGACTCAGCCGAACGCCGCCAATGCTGCGCCCCTTGCGCCCAGGTTTTCAGCAACTACAACAAGTGGTCCCTGCATGCTTTCAAAAAGCACAACAAGCTTATGCAAGGGCGAGGCATCCTAGAAGGCCAGCAGTGCCAGGCTTGCTTACGCCACTTCGGCACAAACGTGAGGTTGTGCCGGCATCTTCGATTCACTCCTGCTTGCCGAGCTATGCTACAACGGCAGGGCTTCACTTGTACTCCGGAACCTGGCGTTGGGAGTCGGAAGGCTCCAGACCCAGGAGCCAACCAGGCTCCGGTTCTCCAGGCGCAGGGACCGCGTCTGCCCATGGAACAGGTTTTGACATGGGAGGACGACAAACGTTCCCCTGTTGCTGAAGTCCTCGATTGCCTGTGCCACATCAATTTCGACGGCAGGGCTCAGACTATGCCGGTTACGGAGTTATGGGATCGCTTGCGTTGTGCTCTCTCCTGCACCTGCGCTCCCACGGAGAGACTTCGAGCGTCTGTTTCCGCATGGGCTTCTTTGCTGGCTGAATCCCTTGACACTGTGCGGGAACGTCTAGAGCCCTGTGCCGCCTGGCTCCTTCAAACAGGCCTAGTTGGATGGCTTGTACCTGACCCTGTTGCCTCTGTTCCGAGCCTCTGCACATTCCGGGATGCAGAGAGCTCTCTGAGCATGTTGGACACCACCTCTGTTGTCCTGCCCGAGCCCCACGAGGGCATCTCTTTGCCCTTTTGTGTTGTGGCACCCGCTGGATGGGAGCAGAGGGCCATCGACGCGAAAGATTGATCTTTTTCTCACATGCCGAGTGTTTGGAGGCCATCTCCCTGGGCTCCCTCCCGAGTTTCTTTGAGGGTCCATTTGAGGACGTCGGGTTTGTCTTGGTCACCGTGGGTCTTCCAACATATACAGGGGATTGGCCCGACCGCCTCGCGGCACCCTCCTTTCAGCAACACTGTGCGTCTGCCGATCTTGCCAGTGACTTGCTCCGCCTCTCGGTACGGCTCCTCGGCTTGGGAGTGCCAGTGGCTTTAATCCTCCCCTTGGTGGACTTGGATTTATGCACACAGGCCATTCTCAATCTCCCTCATGTTCGCTCCTCTCGGAGCATTGACACCCGGGTCATAACCAGGCACGGCGAACTGGAGGGCCACGTGTTTCACCATTTTCTTAATTAGTGATGCAGGCAATGGGCTGCGTCCATACATTGGATCTCTCTGCCCGAAAAGCGAGAAAAAGCGAGTCTCCTCTAAGGTTTGGGAGTTCAGGGTTTGGGGTCCAGGAGTTCAGGGTTCTTTGATTTCAGGTCGCAGTCTGGTGTCCCTGGATCGACGAGTTCCGGGTTTCTGCGCCGGGTTTTAGGGTTTAGGGTTTTAGGGTTTAGGGTTTAGGGTGTAGGATTTAGGGTTTAGCGGGTGGGTTGGGCTTGGGCTTTTGGGCTTTGAGCCTTTTGGAGTTTAGGATTTTAGGGGGTTGGAGGGTTGGGGCCGAGTTGGAATCTAGGGGTTTTTGGGGGGTTGGGTTGAGGTCGGGTTCACTCGAACGATAGTTGGCAAGGGTTTTCATGAGGTTTATAAGGCCATGGTATTTCCCTTAGCGAAACGGTATAAAGGCTGTTGATAGGGTTGAAGCTGAACTTCTGAAGTTTAGTTCCTTCAATGCAGGGCTTTCGTGCTGTTTTGAGAAGCTACCCTCCCAACCAGCAACACTAACTTAGCCAGCGCGGCCTCACCCACCCCCCCCTGTGAGTCTGCTGCACTTTCTTGTCAGAGCCATCGGCAACTCTGCCTGATGCACATGGGTGATTCTCTACATGTGTGTCCCTTTTTCTTTTTCGGTCCCCCGATAGTACGGCAACCTTGTGAAAAGGACCCTTAAGAGGGACCCTCATCTTCAGAACTACCTGATAAAAAAAAGACCTTTTTTCAAGACCGCAGGCTCAATCACCTCGGCCTTCCTTCCACCCTGCTTAGAGGATCCGGGCACTCTTGGGGTTATAATATAGGTGAATATGACAATCGTTACCTTACTTCCAACCCTATTCCTACTTACCGACTGAACCTCCAAGTAGACCCTGAGTGGCTTTGTTTAAGTAGCGAGTCCCTCGCAGGATTTTTTGCGGCCCTCAACGTGAAACGCCTTGATTCGACGGTCTGGCAATGCGTCAAGCCCCACAGCCAGGAATCCTAAACACATCCCCCCCCCCCACCCCCGCCCCGGTAAACCCTAAACTCATAAACCCTACACCCTGAACCCAGACACCCTAAATCTGCGGACATCGAAGCTCAAGCCCTCGTCTGACTCTTTCAATTCCAACAAATCATCGAGGCAACAGGCCATATCCTAATGGCTCATGCAGCCCCCCAAGCCTCCCCGTCCCTTATCACCAGCGACGCTTAGCGTGTATAGTAAACCCCAAAAAGTTGGAAACGGGATTAAGGACAAATAGTGCTGGGATTCCCTATACATGACTTTAAGGATTGAGGCTATTGGGTTTCCAACTTTTAGGCTTCTACTGTAGGGGTGACAATGATTCCCAAACTCTCTACAGGAAGGAGGCAGTGGCGGCAGCAGCGGGAGCAGCTCTGACCCGCCCCTCGGCCGACATGGAAGCGCACGAAGCCCCTTAATCAGGGCAGGTCTAGCGTTGAGGGCTTCGGATCTAGAATCTCTTTAAGGCTTAATTATAGTTGCCTCTTCTATCCTTCTAGCAAGCCCTCTGGCCTCCCTTGGGCAACTCGACTCTTGCGTAGAGTGGTTCCTTCACTCCCTACCGAGAAACTAAGTTCGGATGTCTCGAGGTTTGGTTTTTTTGGGCCTGCGGCCTGTGGATCCTTAGATGCCCTGATCCCAGAACGCTGGAATCCCACCTGCTACTCCAATTGCCTTCCGTTTAGGGGGTAAGGCCTTTTTACCCAATGACACTGGGGAAGAAGAGCACGTAGTGGGGAAGCAACCAAACCCTGAAAAAATGCGACTTTAGAAAGGACACATCAGCACCAAGTAGCACAATCGAGTCATGTTGCACATCAGCTTTGCATGCTCCGAATTGGTTTTTCACTCCCTCTACGCGCTTGTACTCAGCATGCATGCATGCAAGCACACGTTGGAGGGTCCGGACAGCATGCTTGCGTGCCGAAACGCGACGACTCAGCCGGCTAGGCCGGCCAATGAAATCTTCTTGCAGTTGCACTGAATAAGTGAGCGGGTTGCAAGCCCAACGTGCGGTCTTCGACTCGGACTGCTGCCTCAACTCCAAGAGGATATGATTAAAGAAATGGAGTTTTGGAATCATGCAGAATCGGCGTGCACCTCGAGCGAACGCTATGGATGCACAAACTGCGTAAGACCTCAAAAATTGAAGTCCTGAATTAGAGATGTCCCTCGCGCTGTCAAGCTTCATGAACAAGCCGGATTTGTAAAGGCCTCGCATACATGCGTTAGCCGCCTGGACTCCAACAGCCTCGTGGCAGAAGCGAAATGTTTATAAGCTGTTTCTTGATTTGAAACGAGATACTACTTAACAACAACAGCAAAACAATCAAGAAAAGGAATGCCTGTTTTGAACCTCGGAGCGATCTCACGAATCAGCGGGTCATCGGTGTCTTGCCATTCTCTGGCAAGAAAGTCCTGGAGCCATGACAAGAGGTTCGTCGTGACGAACCCCTTGTGCCAGTGCCCCTGGGGCATCACGCCGGTATGCTCCCAGCCCAACAGGTCGCAAGTGATGGCACCAACGTAGGCGTAGCGCTTCGTCCGGGAGCAGAAGCGGCGGTAGTCCTTGGTGAAGTATTCCATTCGCAGGTCCATCTTGCCAAGATGAGCCATGTTTTCTGCCAAGACGGCAATTGCCGCAGCTGCAAAGGTTTTTCCGCAACCTAGATGAAAACAGTGCCAAGCATCCAACCTGTAAAAAAGCCAGGGGTAGTCGTGTGGCACCTGCAACAATGGTCCTGCCTCGTCGTAGCCAGGCGGGCTGTTTGTCCCAATGGTTTGGAGCCATCGCGCACTCAAATTAAAATCTTCCCACGGTGTTGGTTCTGCAGTTTTCTCGCTGCCTCCAAGGCAAATGAAACATACTCCATCGCAAGGCTTCTTCGATGTCGGTTGTTTCGGACACATGCTGAAAGTGCGGCAGAAATGGCCAGCTTTGCCTAGATACGGTAGGTCGCCTTTGCTGCCCACGCAAAAGAACCTCAAGCGTTTCAGCTCTCTGCCTTCTAGCACATCCACGCCCTCCAATGCCAAAGCACGCAGATCGGCTGCGTAGATGGACAGCATGGTGTCAAGTGCATCTGGGTGGTGTTTGTAGAGGCACTGGGGGAGTGTCGCGAACACGTAGTGCGTGAGCATCGTCGCTCCTATAAAATTCAGGTTGAGAGGGTTCTCATCCATGGGCGGTTCTTTTTTTTTGAGGTGTTCCGACTGCCAGGAGCCCTGGCCTAAAACTCCATGCGTGGACAACACCATCAGCGGCAGCTTGCGGTAGGACCTGCCTTCATCTCCATGATGGAGTATTGGGATAACACATCCCAAGTCCAGGTTGGAGTCTTTCTCCCACTGGAACAGTGGCAGGTCTGGTCTAAGGTCCCTCATCCTTCGCCAATACTCTCTGCAAAGTTCCTGTCGCCTCTCGACAGTCTTTGCCCCGGTGATGTAATGCAAGCGATCAGTTCGGGCCAGGTACTGCACCCAGCTGGAAAACTTGATGTAAGGGACAGCCTTTTGGCTGGGGAGGTCTACATAGTGCATCGGGACAGGGACTGTGTGGCCATTCTCCTGAAGCACTCTGTGCACACCCTGTTCGGAATGACTCAGTGGAATGTTACTCAGCTGCTTCACTCCCACGGATGTAGAAGATGAGGAGGCTCTCGCGTGCAAGATGACGTCGCCGCATGGCACCTTGGCGACTTCGAAAGAAACACATGTTCAAGCAAACACTGCTTCAGTCGCTCATGATGCACTGCACGCGCACACACACAGACATACACACACGCACACGCATGCACACACACTGAAACAGCTTTTTTCTCTTGCGAAGTTCCTATAGCAGATCGAAGCTCCGGAACAACGGTAGACATCAGCCTCCTATTGGAACCGCAACATCCGCTCGTGCACCTACCATGTACACATAGAAAAGCTGTGCCTGCAAATGGCCTGGCCCTTCCCCGCCAGGGTTTTGATTGCGACAGCCGGAAGTATTCCAAAACACGTCGATCAGTGCTGCTTCGAGCATTGCCGCAGTGTTCTTACATGCCGTCACATGCAGAAGACACATGTGTGAAAAGTGTGCAATCCGATAGCTTACAAAACGCTGGATGGGGTTGCTTGTGAACCCGATTTTAAACACGCACAAGGCAGCACCCATAGAGGATCGGAACAGATGGGCTTTACGCTTACAGTGCTGCAGCACGGTTCCTGCGCTAGGGGTACAGCTGTTTGTAGGAAGGTACACAGCAGACATGCAGCCAGTCGAAAGAATCAACTTCTCTTTGTCTTCCCTAGTGTCACATAATTCGAACTTCTCAGAAAGCTCACTCAGCAGCTTGGCCGAGCGCTGCGATTCGATGTAGACAGCCTGAATCCAACAGTAGTCAATTCGCCGCGCTATGTTGTTTCATGATCAAGACAGAAGTCGCGAAGACGGCCACATCACTTAGAAGAGTCACTGTATATAGATCTACACACATGTGACCTTGCAGTTCCTTCCCTGCGCTGTACTTCAGCAAACATACACCTATACATATATATACTTTCGGCTAAGTTGTGGAGTTGTGCACTAGGTTCGAATTTTGACACTTCACAGCCTTGTGGATTCCTGCAACACAACTCTGAAATACTTGGGTAGGTCAGAACCAGTAGGTATGCATGTGCATATGCCTGTACATCTTCACGTACGTACTTTTTTTGACCGACATATATATATATATATATACACACACAGATCGATCATAACTAGATACAAGGGAGCTCGAAAGCTCAGCAGGTCGGTGGATGGATAGACACGTAGATTCGAGAGACAGCAGTAGCCAGGTAGGTAGGTTGTGGGTTACAACATATAGTTGAACAGAGGTTCGTATGTGTATGTCCATGTACAAGCTTTTTGATAATATCTCAAACATATCGGCATATAGGTATATACATTATATAAGCACAAATAGATGGATAGATAGGGTAGCTAGGCGAGCAGTTTCCGTGAATTTGCTAGTATGCGTGCTCTGCATAGAAGAACTTGGGCACAGGATGAGCCCACAGTAGCATTCTAGTAAGTGTATAAGTGGTAACCTCATACACTCACGCAAACTAGTCAGGTAAAGCCACAAAGTACCTTATCGAACCTATGTGAAGCCTTCAAGATGTTGCTGCGCTGCCTTGGCATCCAACTGTGGGCGATGCTGAGGTGCCTCTTGAATGCTCATCTTGTCTTCAGAGTTGAACTCGGGAAGCCTTACATGAGCACACGTACAAAGGTCGAAATGCTAGATGGGTTGCAATGGGGACATGCATGCAGCCTATAGGCAGCTGAGTTGCGCTTGGACCACAGGCCTGTAACTCCCGGTAGCATCAGGTCGCCGCTGGCACCCCGTGACATCACATTCGTACGTGAGAAGGTCTAGTAAATCCTCCTCCCAGTCAGAGAAGGTCCCCTCCATCGGTGGCTAAGAGCCCAAACACTTCCAGGATTTCGATTGAGCTCAGATGCAGCAGAAAGTATGCATGTGCATATGCTGGGAAAGGCGCCCCCTTGCCGATCTGCCGGGCGAAGGAAATCATCTCCGCATCATCACCTGGCATGGGGCTCAGCTTGAACCCTGCGCTCGACCGTAGGGCGGTTTAATCTTTCTACGCAAACATAGGGGCATCTTGATCGAGCCTGCTTGGTAGGGCTATGAAATCATTTTTTCGTGGGTCTGTCTGGTTATTCGTTGTTTGGTTGCTCATCTGTGTCTGCGTGCGCTCTCTCTCTCTCTCTCTCTCTCTCCCTCTCCCTCTCCCTCTCACTCTGCTTGCAGACTATGTCTGCAACATGGATGCAGACCATTTCCCCAAGAGCGGCGGTGCGAGCGTCGAAGTAACGCCCAGACTATCGATCTAAGTAGATTCTGCATACATAGTTCAATCGGCGATTGCGAGAATTAGGCAAGATTAGCTTGACAGGAGTGCCACAAACAGCACTGCCTCAGCATCGGCGCTGTGCGCCAAAACAGCTAACCGGCACCCCATGAAAGCTCTGCCGTTGTAGAACAGAGACAGGACCCGGCACCCTTGATCAAATGTGTAAACCACAATTCACCTGGCTACCCGGAACAGCTGGAATTCCATCTAGTTTATGTCAGACTTAGAACACACATTGACCAGAGGGTGTTCTCCAAAATTATTGTCGATCCTACGGAAACACTAGATCAGTCTTCCTTCGCGGATGCCGTCCTTTTGGTGGCAGTCCGCTCCACTGCCCTGTCAGTGCTGAGAATGAACTGCAAGTCTTTTGGGAACGACGTTTGTCTTGCTCTGTGGCCGTTAAGGTCCAGGCTTCGCTTGGTTTTCAGCAGCCAGCAGCCGAGATGAACTGGGATTTTCAGGCATAGATTTGT